CTTGACAGCATACGATATATCAGAGATTAATTCCTTGACACCATATGATTCATCAGAGATCAATTCCTTGACAGAATATGATGTATCAGAGATCAATGCCTTGACAGCATATGATTTATCAAAGAGCAATTCCTTGACAGCATACGATTTATCAAAGAGCAATTCCTTAACAGCATATGATGTATCAGAGATCAATTACTTGACTGCATATGATTTATCAGAGATCAATTCCTTGACACCTTATGATTCACAAAAGATCACACAGGTCTGAATGCAGCGATCTTGCAGAACTAATTCTTCACAATTACCACTATAGAACAGTCACTCATGCGGTTACAATCACAACAAACAGACACTTTGAAAATTCTGTTTAAGGTTGTTTCCTGGATATCAAGATGTGAAAAGCCATATACAGATTTCCTCAAAATAAAATACTGGAACACATTCTCAAGTTTATTTTCTCTTTTAATTTATTTAAAATTTAAAATAACTAAAATTACAGAGTTTCAATTCATGATAAAATGGTGCAGCCGATATGTTTCTGGTGCAACCTGATTAATTAACTTGATTGACCTGGTGCGGGTGGTAACACAGAATGAAATCGTACCCTGCATTAAAGCATATTGATATACACAGAGTAGACAAGTCTCAAACAAGGATAAGATGATCCACAGTGCTGATCTGTGTTGGTCAAGATGTGTAACTAGTGCCCGGTGTGAAGCCGCCGCATTGTTTCCGTGTATCCAGCGTCATCGTTACCTTCTTTATGGCTACACATAATTAAATTTGAGTTAACTGAAAAAGTGGGTCTTGAATGGCTTGACTCAAACTGCAAGAACTGCCAACCTGCTTAATACTCTTTCCTTGTGTAAGCTTTAATTATGGCACTGAATTTAGTGTTTTTAGTGCTTCACCATGTTCACAATGTTTTCTGTCAAAACACATGTTGTTCTAACATGGCTTAAATAATTGGACTGATAAAGTCCTCTCCCAAAGGTGCTATAGGACAATAAACCATGGTTGTAGTCTTTGCTTGGTCGTTATCATGGTGATACAGGTATTTTTCATTGCTTGCATTGTGTACTCATTTCTCATAAACATGACAATTGTTAACATGATAGAAAACACACAATACACTCCTTGCGAGTTAACCTGCTATGTACATGGGCTGGTATTGTTCATGTGTAGCTTAACACTGATAGCAGGCACTGCTAATATCAAATATAATAACCATAATTATGCAAAATAGATTTGATAATTATTTCTTTTCAACTAGGCGAAATAAATTAATATTCTCACAATGATCAATCAATAATTTCCAAAAGCAAACACTTTCCAAAGAGAATATCTACCCTCAATCATAAATGTCAGTTCTTGTGATTCTATTCATGCTATTGTGAACAGGCGTGTAATATATTATTTATACCATGCACTGACCATGCTAACAGCATGAAACAACTGGTCACAACAAGACCTGCTGAGCTCTGGTCATTGGGGTCACCAAGTTACATATGTGACGTCTAATCACTAACTCAAAAGGTATTCTACCACAGGTGGGGCATATTTATAACTTTGTAGTGGTTGCCAGTACAGTTTCCTTATACTCAAACATGTGTTTAAACATTGTGCAACTTTCCTTATAAGGAAAGCACACATAACTTGACCTTATACTGAGGTCAGTTACAAACGACTGTCCATGATATATCTCTGATATATCACTTCAATTATATAGGAATGAATGTGTAACATAATAAAGTACAAAATGTTCTGTTAATACAATTCATAAATATATCTTCAACGGACGACAATAACTTGATGGAATTGACCTGTGAGTCAGTCAAATCACCACAGCTGCAATAAAAATGTCAAATTCTAAAAGTGAAATTCTTTTAGTGAAAACTAATAACCACATGATGTCATGAAAATGAATAACACTTAAAATACAACGAGAGGGTTATAAATAACTACACTCATCTAAAGCAGGGGTGTAAACATGGCCCCAAAAACTCGACAGAACCCATGCCTGCTTCATTTGTGTGGACAGATTCATGGTATAAAGTTCTTACCGTTTCCCGGAACTTGGATATTGGTTCCATACCCCTGTACGTCATTACTCAGTGGCTCATCTTCATCAGCTTTCGTCACTGTAAATCTCACGGATGCCATAGTTGAATGAATAGGTGTACTAAATCCAACTTGACACTTTCAGAAAGGCACTGACTCACGTTCACGAACAGCAGACGGTCGCTTCAGTCTAAAACATTACTCAGATCACGTTTAAAAATAAGTGTAGATGAAATAAATAGTGGAGTGGTTATATGAGTTGCGAGATTTCAATATCAAGATTTCTTTCCTCCATAGTTCAGATCTAAAACAAAACGCCGCTATCTGTCAACGTGTAGGAGATTTCCTGCTTCTCGACAACAAATGATATTTACGACATCCCACCAGTTACTTCCCTTTGTTCGTATTTCATGGCTGGAAAATAAATCACGCCGGGGATTGACCTTATTTAGGCTGCAGAGTTTTACTCGTGCAAATACGTGAAGAAAACGGTGTAAGGGAAATAACTCCAACGAAATTTAGTTTGCAAACTTCAAACAATATTGCTTCCTATGTGATAACTGATTATATAACACGTTTAATCCTATATTGTTACCACAAATAGTATCAAATAATACTGTAACAGTAAAATATATTGTTGCAAGCTGTTACACATTGTTATGAACTCTAGGCGATGGTACAATGTATATATATTAATTCTATTATATCATATACCTTTTCCTATTTAATTAAGAATGTCCCTTCTCGTACTAACTTTCTAAAACTTTCTAAAAATATTGCAGAATGTTAAACATAAATATACTCAACTAACCACACCCAAAGGCGAAAGCTGCACACCGCATTTCCCGTTTATCAACAAACCAGCTTGTCAACACGTTCAATGTAAACAAGCAACAGCAAAGATGCTCTATTGAAAAGAACCGCAAACACCGAATGGTCTTTGTTTGTTTTCACGAATAAGCATTGTTTCCGGTTTGAAGAAAGTTTTGTGGAAGTAATATCGACCATGTAGGTGTTCTGGCTTAGAAAAGGTCCCCAGAGTCTCACGTTTAAATTTAACGGGTATCGGGTTGCCAGTTCTAGTGAAATGATAGATCGTCGTTCAAGCTTTCAGTCACTGGTTGGTGTGCTCCCGACCTGTGATATAGCTGGGATATTACTAACTGCGGTGTAAAATAACACTCACTCACACTCGCCCACCCAGACTCCCACGCACCCACTCACCCTGAAGAATTGGTCTTCAGTAACCCATGCTTGTCGTAAGTGGTGACAAACGGGATCGGGTGGTCAGACTAGCTGATTTGGTTGATGCATGTCATCGTAACCCAATTGTTGGTTGGTTGGTTGGTTGTTTAACGCCGCACTCAGCAATATTGGGTGGGTTGATACTCATTATGTCAATAACTGGATTGTCTCGGTTATTTACATATCACAGTCGTAGAGATGCGGCGTTATGCCACCCCCCACCCCTAAAGAAAATAAATAAATAAACAAACAAACAAACAAACAAACAAACAAACAAGCAAATAAATAAATAAATAAATAAATAAAAAAAAATAAAAATAAATAAATAAATTAAATTAAATTAAATTAAATTAAATTAAATAAGGTCATTCAAACCTCACCTTGTTGTCTAGCTTTTACTGGTATTCGAATTCCACAGAGACCATGTCTCAGTTTCTCAACTTGTATAATGTCATGAGCTAGAAAGGGATTGAGCACTCTGCGTGGATCAAATAGAGTTCTCCTACAACTTCATGGGTGCATATAAAGTGTTATACAAGGCCCTCGTACATCCCAGTGATGTACATATAGCCTCATTACTGCCTTGATAAAACCTTGCACCCAACTGCATTGGCATGTTGATATGATCGTCGGATATCAAATTAATTCTTTTTCTAGCATTTTAGAAATCCGAAGAGTGATCGATAGAATGTGAAACACGATGAATCCACAAGACTGGAGATTATGACTTCAATTTTTGTGAAAACATGATTGATTTTATAATTGAATTAATGTTCCCCTGCACGTCGAATTACAAGGATCTTAATACCAATATCAAATTCTAATATTTGCATCGACTTTTAATACGTTGATGTAGGTCATGCTAATATCCGCGTATATGGGCACTTAGCCTGACTCACAGTCCCTGAACCATATTATTTTCCCTTCCGCCCAGCCCTTACTGTAATGCTGTAGCTCTATTTGAAAGCAAGTCTAGATGTTCCACGTTCATCTCACTGAAGCTCCTTTTCAATTTAAACAGAGTTATTTGTTTCCATAAAAAAAATATATTTTTGGCGTCTGATCGTAAGTCAAGCCGGAGGCATACAGACGTAATATGATTAGCGTTCCGTGTAAAACATGTAGGCATGGGCCCCGTAACATTTCGATAACCATGGTTATTGATTTATTGAACAAGACAATAAAAAATGCAGTTTGTATTTTTTCACCTCAGTAAATACAGAATAAGGCAATGTTTGTACGTCACTAACATTCGACGGAATCGCTTCTACTGTTGTTTTGCTTTGTTTTAAATAGGGTTGGGATTGTATGATAATCATTTTTAGCCACACTACAGACAAAGGCAAATGTCGTTCAGGGCACAATTTGATATGCAGTCACAATCGTGAATCAGGGGACTGTATGAACTGTCTTCTGAATCAGGGAACTGTCTTCATCTGACAAAGAGTTCATATTCTGGCAGCTGCAGCAGGGAATGGCTTCACGTCAACACACACGCACGCACACACACGCATGCACGCACGCACGCACGCACGCACGCACGCACGGACCCCTCCAAAAATAAAACAAATAAAATTAATAATAATCTGAAATTATTTCGCTTTGAGCACGATGTAAAGTCATCTGCCATCGAGAAGTGGCGAGTTCGCTGCAGTATTTCGTGACGTCATAGACATATGACGTCACAATCATTCACCCACATCGACAACATTACGTTCCAGTCCGTCGTCAGAGTGGGAGCGACGTGTATAAGCTCTTTCACCAGTCCTGTGTTCTGTAGAGTGGCGTCAATAATTCGTCACGTGTAAATCCACGTTCAACAGAGTGGCATCAATAATTCGACACCAGTAAATTCCAACGCAGAGATTTGGAAATGGCGTGTTACAACGACCCCGTGTCGGCCACGACCTACCAAAAGGACTATCGCGTGGATCAGCTCCTGCCGGCACTCCGGATGACCACGCTGCCCATGTTCCAGCCGGGGAGGGAGGTGTCCACGAACCAGTGGAGGCCTACCCTCAAGAAGGTGGCTGGACCACCGAGCTCAGTGCTGTTTGCAAGGTAAGAACCTTTGTATAGTGGATCCTTTGCTTGTTTTGGTTTGTTTGTTGTTATACGCCGCACTCAGCAATATTCCAGCTATATATAAATAATCGAGTCTGGACCAGACAATCCAGTGATTGACATCATGAGCATCGATCCACGCAATGCTTGTTTTGAGTTTAATGACATCATATTGAAGCCATACATACTTTAGATTTTGTTACTGCCATAAGGATCCGTGGGGCTTCAGGATAAGATTTAATATCCGTCACCAGCAACTCTATAATACTCGTGGTAAGAGGCGGCTAACTAGATCAGGTGGTCAGGCTCGGTGGTTTGCTGTTTGCACATCATCAGTATCCTTATTATGTGGAACGATTCTCATGATGTCAATCACTCGATTATTTACAGACCGCCGTCAAACAGCTGGAACAGTGCTGAGTGCGGCGTTAAACAACAAACAAATAAACAAACAAATGAACATGTCGTAAATATACTGGCATGGAAGTCGTCATTTTTCTTTACCGTGGCAATCACGATGTAACAGTTCTTTTATGCTGTAATGCCAATTTCCATACAACAACATAACACCGGATCCTATATTACCCCTCCCAACCGCCATCCTCATCATCACCCTCCCGTCACCCTCATCACCACCCTCTCCGTCACCCTCATCATCACCCTCTCCGTCACCCTTATCACCACCCTCTCCGTCACCCTTATCAACACCCTCATCATAATCATCCCCGTCACCCTCATCACCACCCTCTCCGTCACCCTTATCATCACCCTCTCCGTCACCCTTATCACCACCCTCTCCGTCACCCTCATCACCACCCTCTCCGTCACCCTTATCATCACCCTCTCCGTCACCCTTATCATCACCCTCTCCGTCACCCTTACCGCCACCCTCTCCGTCACCCTCATCACCACCCTCTCCGTCACCCTTATCAACACCCTCATCATAATCATCCCCGTCACCCTCATCACCACCCTCTCCGTCACCCTTATCATCACCCTCTCCGTCACCCTTACCGCCACCCTCTCCGTCACCCTTATCACCACCCTCTCCGTCACCCTTATCAACACCCTCATCATAATCATCCCCGTCACCCTCATCACCACCCTCTCCGTCACCCTTATCATCACCCTCTCCGTCACCCTTATCACCACCCTCTCCGTCACCCTCATCACCATCCTCTCCATCACCCTTATCCCCACCCTCATCATAATCATCCCCGTCACCCTCATCACCACATTCACCGTCACCCTCATCACCACCCTCTCCGTCATCCTCATCACACACCCTCTCCGTCATCCTCATCACACAACCTCTCCGCACCCTCATCATCACCCTCTCCGTCACCCTCATCACCACCCTCCCCGCCACCCTCATCACCACCCTCACCGTCACCCTCATCACCACCCTCTCCTTCATCCTCATCACACAACCTCTCCGCACCCTCATCATCACCCTCTCCGTCACCCTCATCACCACCCTCCCCGTCACCCTCATCACCACCCTCACCGTCACCCTCATCACCACCCTCTCCGTCATCCTCATCACACACCCTCTCCGTCATCCTCATCACACAACCTCTCCGCACCCTCATCATCACCCTCTCCGTCACCCTCATCACCACCCTCAACGTCACCCTCATCACCTACCTCACCGTCACCCTCATCACCACCCTCACCGTCATCCGCATCACCACCCTCACCGTAACCCTCATGATCATCCTCCCGTCACCCTCATCACCACCCTCATCGTCATCCGCATCACCACCCTCACCGTAACCCTCATGATCATCCTCCCGTCACCCTCATCATCACCCGCTCCACCACCCTCACCGTCACCCTCATCGTCACCCTCATCACCACCCTCACCGTCACCCTCATCACACACCCTCCCCATCACCCTCATCATCACCCTCACCGTCACCCTCATCACCACCCTCCCATACTCTCATCACACACCCTCCCCATCACCCTCATCACACACCCTCCCCGTCACCCTCATCGCCACCCTCTCCGTCACACTCATCACCACCCTCCCCGTCACCCTCATCATCACCCGCTCCGTCACCCTCATCACCACCCTCTCCGTCACCCTCATCACACACCCTCACCGTCACCCTCATTAGCACCCTCTCCACCACCCTCCCCGTCACCCTCACCACCACCCTCTCCGCCACCCTCATCACCACCCTCACCGTCACCCTCATCACCACCCTCTCCGTCACCCTCATCACACACCCTCAACGTCACCCTCATCACCACCCTCCCCGTCACCCTCATCACCACCCTCCCCGTCACCCTCATTAGCACCCTCTCCACCACCCTCATCACCACCCTCCCCGTCACCCTTACCGTCACCCTCATCACCACCTTTCCGTCACCCTCATCACAACCCTCCCCGTCACCCTCATCACACACCCTCAACGTCACCCTCATCACCACCCTCCCCGTCACCCTCATCACACACCCTCACCGTCACCCTCATCACAACCCTCCCCGTCACCCTCATCACCACCCTCAACGTCACCCTCATCACAACCCTCCCCGTCACCCTCATCACACACCCTCACCGTCACCCTCATCACAACCCTCCCCGTCACCCTCATCACACACCCTCAACGTCACCCTCATCACCACCCTCCCCGTCACCCTCACCGTCACCCTCTCAACCACCCTCATCACCATCCTCTCCACCACCCTCATCACCATCCTCTCCACAACCCTCATCACCACCCTCTCCGCCACCCTCATCACCATCCTCCCCGTCACCCTCATCACACACCCTCATCACCACCCTCCCCGTCACCCTCATCACTACCCTCCCCGTCACCCTCACCGTCACCCTCTCAACCACCCTCTCGACCACCCTCATCACCATCCTCTCCACCACCCTCATCACCATCCTCTCCACAACCCTCATCACCACCCTCTCCGCCACCCTCATCACCATCCTCCCCGTCACCCTCATCACACACCCTCGCCGTCACCCTCTCCACCACCATCATCACCACCCTCACCATCACCCTCATCATCACCCGCTCCACCACCCTCATCACCACCCTCTCCGCCACCCTCATCACCACCCTCACCTTCGACTTCATCACCACCCTCCCCCTCACCCTCATCACACACCCTCACCGTCACCCTCATCACTACCCTCTCCGCCACCCTCATCACCACCCTCTCCATCACCCTCATCACCACCCTCACCGTCACCCTCATCACTACCCTCTCCGCCACCCTCATCACCACCCTCTCCGTCACCCTCATCACACACCCTCACCGTCACCCTCTTCAGCACCCTCTCCGCCACCCTCATCATCACCCGCTCCACCACCCTCATCATCACCCTCCCGTCACCCTCATCACCACCCTCATCATCACCCTCCACGTCACCCTCATCACACACTCTCTCCGTCACCCTCATCATCACCGTCTCCATCACCCTCATCATCAACCGCTCTGTCACCCTCATCACCACCCTCATCACCACCCTCACCGTCACCCTCATCACCACCCTCTCCGTCGCCCTCTTCATCACCCTCACCCTCATTATCACCCTCATCACACACCCTTCCAGTCATCATTATGCCATTATTATTATCACATTACCACTCTTCTCCTCGCCATCTTTCTCAACACAGCATTACCACCACCACCATCCTGCCAGTCATCTAATTCGCTGTGCAGAGTGTTGTCCGCTAGCGGAGACAGAAACCTATGATCCCGGGTGCGAATCCCAAATTCTCCCTGTTTATTATTCTTGGTTTATCAACACCATACTCATACTCGTGGATCATCTTCTTCTTCATCATCATCATCATCATCATCATCATCGTCATCATCATCATCATCATCATCATCATCATCATCGCCCTCATCATCTCCACTAATTTCATTAATATTACAATGATTTTCCTCGTCATCATCCTCCATTTGTGATGAAGAACAGTTATAAGTATGCTTGCTTCATTTTGACAGATATGTCCCAAAGAACAAGAAGACTGTTCTGCCGTCTGATTCAGCTGTCCGACAGTGTCGCCTGGCCAGCGTTGAGTGCCCCAAGCCGCGCGTGCTGGCCACCAAGTTGGGCCAGATGGACATGCAGTTGGTGGAGAAGCTGGCCCACAAATGGAGGTGGACGCCCACCTCCCTGATGGCTACAGAGGATGCACATGTTCCCATGCCACAAGTAGGTACAGTTTGTTAGCTGCTTGTTTAACTCTAGCTGAAGTGGTCCCCCACCACCCTGGTGGCTACAGAGGTGGCACATCTTCCCATGCCGCAAGTAGGTACAGTTTGTTAGTTGGTTGTTTAACTCCAGCTGAAGTGGTCCCCCACCACCCTGGTGGCAACAGAGGAGGCACATCTTCCCATGCCGCAAGTAGGTACAGTTTGTTAGTTGGTTGTTTAACTCCAGCTGAAGTGGTCCCCAAACCACCCTGGTGGCAACAGAGGAGGCACGTCTTCCCAAAACCGCAAGTAGGTACAGTTTGTTAGTTGGTTGTTTAACTCCAGCTGAAGTGGTCCCCAAACCACCCTGGTGGCAACAGAGGAGGCACATCTTCCCATGCCGCAAGTAGGTACAGTTTGTTAGTTGGTTGTTTAACTCCAGCTGAAGTGGTCCCCCACCACCCTGGTGGCAACAGAGGAGGCACATCTTCCCATGCCGCAAGTAGGTATAGTTTGTTAGTTGATTGTTTAACTCCAGCTGAAGTGGACGCCAACCACCCTGGTGGCAACAGAGGAGGCACATCTTCCCATGCCGCAAGTAGGTACAGTTTGTTAGTTGGTTGTTTAACTCCAGCTGAAGTGGACGCCAACCACCCTGGTGGCCACAGAGGAGGCACATCTTCCCATGCCGCAAGTAGGTACAGTTTGTTAGCTGGTTGTTTAACTCCAGCTGAAGTGGTCCCCCACCACCCTGGTGGCAACAGAGGAGGCACATCTTCCCATGCCGCAAGAAGGTACAGTTTGTTAGCTGGTTGTTTAACTCCAGCTGAAGTGGTCCCCCACCACCCTGGTGGCAACAGAGGAGGCACATCTTCCCATGCCGCAAGTAGGTACAGTTTGTTACTTGGTTGTTTAACTCAAGCTGAAGTGGTCCCCAAACCACCCTGGTGGCAACAGAGGAGGCACATCTTCCCATGCCGCAAGTAGGTACAGTTTGTTAGCTGGTTGTTTAACTCAAGCTGAAGTGGTCCCCCACCACCCTGGTGGCAACAGAGGAGGCACATCTTCCCATGCCGCAAGTAGGTACAGTTTGTTAGCTGGTTGTTTAACTCCAGCTGAAGTGGACGCCAACCACCCTGGTGACAACAGAGGAGGCACATCTTCCCATGCCGCAAGTAGGTACAGTTTGTTAGCTGGTTGTTTAACTCCAGCTGAAGTGGTGCCCCACCACCCTGGTGGCAACAGAGGAGGCACATCTTCCCATGCCGCAAGTAGGTACAGTTTGTTAGCTGGTTGTTTAACTCCAGCTGAAGTGGACGCCAACCACCCTGGTGGCAACAGAGAGACACATCTTCCCATGCCACAAGTAGGTACAATTTGTTAGTTGGTTGTTTAACTCCAGCTGAAGTGGACGCCAACCACCCTGGTGGCCACAGAGGAGGCACATCTTCCCATGCCGCAAGTAGGTACAGTTTGTTAGTTGGTTGTTTAACTCCAGCTGAAGTGGACGCCAACCACCCTGGTGGCAACAGAGGGGGCACATCTTCCCATGCCACAAGTAGGTACAATTTGTTAGTTGGTTGTTTAACTCCAGCTGAAGTGGACACCCACCACCCTGGTGGCAACAGAGGAGGCACATCTTCCCATGCCGCAAGTAGGTACAGTTTGTTAGCTGGTTGTTTAACTCCAGCTGAAGTGGTCCCCCACCACCCTGGTGGCAACAGAGGAGGCACATCTTCCCATGCCGCAAGTAGGTACAGTTTGTTAGTTGGTTGTTTAACTCAAGCTGAAGTGGTCCCCATCCACCCTGGTGGCAACAGAGGAGGCACATCTTCCCATGCCGCAAGAAGGTACAGTTTGTTAGTTGGTTGTTTAACTCCAGCTGAAGTGGTCCCCAAACCACCCTGGTGGCAACAGAGGAGGCACGTCTTCCCAAAACCGCAAGTAGGTACAGTTTGTTAGTTGGTTGTTTAACTCCAGCTGAAGTGGTCCCCAAACCACCCTGGTGGCAACAGAGGAGGCACATCTTCCCATGCCGCAAGTAGGTACAGTTTGTTAGTTGGTTGTTTAACTCCAGCTGAAGTGGTCCCCCACCACCCTGGTGGCAACAGAGGAGGCACATCTTCCCATGCCGCAAGTAGGTATAGTTTGTTAGTTGATTGTTTAACTCCAGCTGAAGTGGACGCCAACCACCCTGGTGGCAACAGAGGAGGCACATCTTCCCATGCCGCAAGTAGGTACAGTTTGTTAGTTGGTTGTTTAACTCCAGCTGAAGTGGACGCCAACCACCCTGGTGGCCACAGAGGAGGCACATCTTCCCATGCCGCAAGTAGGTACAGTTTGTTAGCTGGTTGTTTAACTCCAGCTGAAGTGGTCCCCCACCACCCTGGTGGCAACAGAGGAGGCACATCTTCCCATGCCGCAAGAAGGTACAGTTTGTTAGCTGGTTGTTTAACTCCAGCTGAAGTGGTCCCCCACCACCCTGGTGGCAACAGAGGAGGCACATCTTCCCATGCCGCAAGTAGGTACAGTTTGTTACTTGGTTGTTTAACTCAAGCTGAAGTGGTCCCCAAACCACCCTGGTGGCAACAGAGGAGGCACATCTTCCCATGCCGCAAGTAGGTACAGTTTGTTAGCTGGTTGTTTAACTCAAGCTGAAGTGGTCCCCCACCACCCTGGTGGCAACAGAGGAGGCACATCTTCCCATGCCGCAAGTAGGTACAGTTTGTTAGCTGGTTGTTTAACTCCAGCTGAAGTGGACGCCAACCACCCTGGTGACAACAGAGGAGGCACATCTTCCCATGCCGCAAGTAGGTACAGTTTGTTAGCTGGTTGTTTAACTCCAGCTGAAGTGGTGCCCCACCACCCTGGTGGCAACAGAGGAGGCACATCTTCCCATGCCGCAAGTAGGTACAGTTTGTTAGCTGGTTGTTTAACTCCAGCTGAAGTGGACGCCAACCACCCTGGTGGCAACAGAGGGGGCACATCTTCCCATGCCACAAGTAGGTACAATTTGTTAGTTGGTTGTTTAACTCCAGCTGAAGTGGACGCCAACCACCCTGGTGGCCACAGAGGAGGCACATCTTCCCATGCCGCAAGTAGGTACAGTTTGTTAGTTGGTTGTTTAACTCCAGCTGAAGTGGACGCCAACCACCCTGGTGGCAACAGAGGGGGCACATCTTCCCATGCCACAAGTAGGTACAATTTGTTAGTTGGTTGTTTAACTCCAGCTGAAGTGGACACCCACCACCCTGGTGGCAACAGAGGAGGCACATCTTCCCATGCCGCAAGTAGGTACAGTTTGTTAGCTGGTTGTTTAACTCCAGCTGAAGTGGTCCCCCACCACCCTGGTGGCAACAGAGGAGGCACATCTTCCCATGCCGCAAGTAGGTACAGTTTGTTAGTTGGTTGTTTAACTCCAGCTGAAGTGGTCCCCATCCACCCTGGTGGCAACAGAGGAGGCACATCTTCCCATGCCGCAAGAAGGTACAGTTTGTTAGTTGGTTGTTTAACTCCAGCTGAAGTGGTCCCCAAACCACCCTGGTGGCAACAGAGGAGGCACGTCTTCCCAAAACCGCAAGTAGGTACAGTTTGTTAGTTGGTTGTTTAACTCCAGCTGAAGTGGTCCCCAAACCACCCTGGTGGCAACAGAGGAGGCACATCTTCCCATGCCGCAAGTAGGTACAGTTTGTTAGTTGGTTGTTTAACTCCAGCTGAAGTGGTCCCCCACCACCCTGGTGGCAACAGAGGAGGCACATCTTCCCATGCCGCAAGTAGGTACAGTTTGTTAGTTGGTTGTTTAACTCCAGCTGAAGTGGACACCCACCACCCTGGTGGCAACAGAGGAGGCACATCTTCCCATGCCGCAAGTAGGTACAGTTTGTTAGCTGGTTGTTTAACTCCAGCTGAAGTGGTCCCCCACCACCCTGGTGGCAACAGAGGAGGCACATCTTCCCATGCCGCAAGTAGGTACAGTTTGTTAGCTGGTTGTTTAACTCCAGCTGAAGTGGACGCCAACCACCCTGGTGGCAACAGAGGAGGCACATCTTCCCATACCGCAAGTAGGTACAGTTTGTTAGTTGGTTGTTTAACGTCCCTCTCAACAACATTCCAGCTATATGATTACGCATCTTCCTGTGCCCGAAATAACCTGCCGGACCAACGAAAGTATACACCCGTGTTTGATGGGGTTTAGAAATGAAACAAATAAGAAATGGTATTATATATTGTGAGCAGCGATCCACGCCGCCGGGCAGGTAGAAAACGCTATCATCCAAGTCACCGAGGCTGACCACCTGGTCTCTTAAGTCGACCAACTTTTGCTTCTGGGGACTAGTTCTCATCCGGAAACCCCGCGGGGGTACACATCGCGAGTCTGGTCTTGCCAAGCTTGTGCACAGTTGATGAGCAATGGCCCACTGTACGAGGACCAATGACAGGAAGTCACCGGTCCGATTAGGTCTCCTCTTACAAGCAATGAGAGAATGGGCATATTAGTACTGTGCCCTTACTATCTGGATTCCCACATGTACATCGATATTACAACTGTATCAAAGACGATTCGTTCGGTAGAACAGCACATATACAAATATACAAGCGATCCGTCGTAAATAGCGACTGATGTACCCCTATGTGGGTGTGTGACACGCTATTGAAGTCAGTTTGTCCTTCTTAGCGCTTGTCAGCCCAATGACACTTGAGTTCCAACCTAATGCAACATATCTCTTTCATACTTAACGGCGGCTCTCCATTTTATACTTCGACATAGCTATCGACTTTATCTAATGTATGCAAGGGGAAACGTGAAATCACCCTGTGCCGACAATCGACGATCATCCATCATTACTTTCAATCGTTTTATTCTCAATACTGAAACGTCATAAGCCCATAGTACATATATTACACTGTATATATGCGGAGAGGCTGTACACGCAAATTACTTTCTAATTGACATGACATGATAAATATACATTGATAAGTTACAAACAATATTTGTATTGACTGATTTCATCAAAGAAACAAAATGATCATCATTTGGATGAACACATTTGATCCGTTTTATGTATGTTTTTCTCAAATCCTGTTTAGTACATCAGAGTCTGATATTCACCCGCCACTGAATTCAAATTACATTGCGTGCACAGTCTCATATTTCTTGGTATATTATTGTGCGTCCCGAGCTCAATCATTGATCTACGTGAACCACATCTAAACTGTGACGTAAAGTACATATATACTGCATATCATAGTCCATACCAAACCAATACCTATAAACGCGATAAGCGGGCGTTGATACATGCAATATGATAATCTGTTATGATCCTTGTCACGCGAGATTAGCAAAGCAGTCGGACAGTTTGTATTCAATATCTCGAAAAACACAACTTTGATATTTCAGATAGACACGCGCTCGAAGACGCTGGAAAAGCGCGCGGACATGGTCAAATTTGACGTCAAGCGTTACTATGACCAGCCTCGGATGTGGCAACAAGCGGAAATGTTCGATCGTTACCAGCTTCGACAGCCTGTGGAGAGAGTTGTCTACCCTTACAACAAAGCCGATGACAAGAAGCTGCTGACCAAGAGGTATGCTGACTAGCCAGCCATTGTTTGTGCGGTAAAAAGTGTCCAAAGTGCTCACAGACTTTTTCATTTGTGCAATTTTGTTTATTATTTATTGTTATGCAAAATGCGCACATCATTGCTCATATAATTGATATCGCGATTCATTGTGTGTATATATACCATTTCATGATATAAAAGAACGAAGTGAAAAAAAAAAAATCAAAAAAAAAAATCAATAAAAAAAATCATTGAACATATTTACAACTTTTGCTGGATATGACGTTTTACATGCGTCATCGAACCACGGGGGAAGATAATTGTGTACATCCTTCATAACCCAGTGTATTATATCTTATATATTTAATTGTGATACGTTACCACCACCCATTCTCAACCAAACCTCGTCTCGGAAGTGACGTCAGCATCCAGCCACTAACTTAGCAGATTATTTGTCTCGCTTATGAGTTTACTTTGATTGGACGACCAGTTTTAGCAACGAATGTGGTTAAAAACGCTATGGTAGCGAATAGGGCCAGGATCGTTATATAATGGATACATACTACAGGGTCATATAATGGATATATACTACAGGGTCGTTATATAATAGATATATAGTACAGGATCGTGATATATCGATATATACTACAGGATCACATATGGATATATACTCCAGTATCATATAATGGATATATACTACAGGGTCGTTATATAATGGATAATTACTACAGGATCATATAACGGGTATATACTACGGGGTCATTATATAATGGATATATACTACAGGGTCGTTATATGATGGATATATACTACAGGATCGTGATATATCGATAAATACTGCAGGATCATATAATGGATATATACTACAGGGTCGTTATATAATGGATAATTACTACAGGATCGTTATATAATGGATATATACTACAGGGTCGTTATAAAATGGATATATACTACAGGATCGTTATATATGGATATATATAATACAGGATCATATAATGGACACATACTACAGGGTCGTTATATAATGCTTATATACTGCAGGGTCGTTATATAATGGATATATACTACAGGATCGTTATATATTGATTTATATACTACAGGGTCATATAATTAATATATACTACGGGATCATATAATGGATATATACTACAGGGTCGTTATAGTATAGATATATAGTACAGGATCGTGATATATCGATATATACTACAGGATCATATAATGGATATATACTACGGGATCATATAACGGATATATACTACAGGATCGTTATACATGTATTATGGATATATACTACAGGATCGTTATATATGGATATATACTTCAGGATCATATGATGGACAGAATTCAATATTCCAGCTATATGACAAACGTAACAGTCCAGGATAGTATATTCTGTTTACTTGTCATGAACCACAATAGATAAATGCATGTATATATATTATATAAACGCACTTCTTTCTCATATAGAAACTGTACATACATTACAGGGGCAAGGTCGCCACCGACACAGGCAAAGCAGAGAAAATGAGGAGGCTCGTGCGACAGGACCAACTTGCCTCTGTATTGTAAGTAATCAAGGTCATCTATGTGTCATCGTGAGGCAGGTGTAAAACCATGTACGATGTTTTATTATCATTCTTCAGTGTCTGCTATTCTGTGTTTTACTTTCAGGTATTATTAGTGAGGATAATAGTTGATAGTTTATAAATAGTTTAAATGTAGTTCCTGTGTCCCTGTTTACCAAACCCAAGCCATGACGCGTTCGACTGATTGACCACGCTGACCCGCCAAGTTAACCCTTTGTCTCACAGCATGTACTCAGTCTGCAAACACTCTCTGCACAGACAAGTTGACAGCAAACCATTTAAATCAGGTGAGTTTACTATGTTTATGTGTGTTTTTGTTATATGTTATTGCAGATATATGTTGCGGAACATTAAACCTGTACTTTTAGTACACTAAAAGTGTTTTATACTATCTAAATCTCAGGTATAACCTATTTACGTAATTATGGTGAACTAGCCTTATAAATTGAAAGCTTTTGTAATTACTAATATGACCTTTCCATCTCTTTATTCTTGTATGAATGAGTCAAGTGTTGTTTTACGGAATACGACATGTTTTAAATGCTTTTGTTCTGGGTAATATACCATATGTAATATACGGATACGGGAGGAAGTCTTACCACTGTACTTGATGAATTGGGAAGGTACACCTTATATGTATTGTATGTTGTGAAATGTATATCCTACTGGATAAAATTGTTGTCCATGCCATAGGTACCCCAGAATTTGTTGCACGGCGCCATGCTCCATGCTTTATTTGTTTGAGAAAGATACATGGAGATGAGTAATAGTTGGAACGATGTAAACAAACTTTTAAAAAAACTTCATTTTTGTCTTCATCCATAATGATATGCGTACATACGAAATACATAATTAATGATTAATATATTTTTTAAAACATTCCTGAGTGTAAATTATTACACTGAACATGTTTGTATTATTCGGGCACAATCGACAGAGAGAATCACGCTGTCCTAGACTGCTTTGCCTGCCTTTGAGCGCTTGCGCTCCTCATCTGGAGGCGCTGGGAGGCTGAAAGCAGGGGGGTACCAATCTAGCCCTATTCGACCTATTTCCCCAAATATCATATCGCTATGCAGAAACGTTGACACACAGGAGAGAGGTATTAAAGTACTCATGGAAATGAAAAAAACCAACTGTTTTGCTGGATTTAATAATCGACACAAAGCATTACGTAGATGTAAATACGAAATAACAAAACAACTGGAAAAGTACTAGTCTGGATTTGCTAGTTTTATCTCAGTGCTCAATACAAAATGTACTTTACAGGGGGTAATTTGTCAGCACTTTCAACATTCAAAAATAAAACTAAGTCCAAATTGACATGGCAGAAACAGGCTATAGGCATTATGTAAAAAGACATAAAAACCTTTGATACGCTGTATTTGTGCCAAGGCCCAATTGAGTTGTTTGAATATTTATATATTTTGTATATTAACTTATTTATTTGAAATCTAAGATCGAAAAAAGTTTTTTTCATTCCTGTGAGTACTTTAGCACTTTTGGCCAGCGTGAATAATTGACGTGTTAGGCTACAGGAGTAAACATATTGCGTTAGGGAGGTAACTCTCATAGAGAAGTATTCTTCATGGTTAAAAATAACAAACGCATTCACAACATCGTGGGTTTCAATTGTAACTGTAGATATATCAATGTCAACAGTATCATGTATACCATTATGATTGGTATTTTTAATGATTTTTCAACCCCATTGCTGAAGATAACCTGAAAGGAGCGTCACATTGTTATATTTGAAGCTCATTTCTGGTTATTTTCACCAATGGCAACACTTCACAAAACGACGACCAACCATGTTTTCACGTTGTGGTCAAAGGGAGATAATCGTGTGGAGTAATCTCCCTTAGTAGACTGGGCTCCAAGCTCCTTCCCAGCGCGTGACACCTTCGTTACACTCTCGGTAACATCGCTGCCACCAGTGTGGGCGCGGCTATTTCAAGAATCTTGAAATTTGCCCTCCAACCCCATATGTAGTAACGTTTATACTTTTGTTTATGTCTTTGGGAATGCCATCATATTTCAATTTGAAAAGGTTTACGACTGACCATGTTTTCCAGATGAATTTACTTTGTTGTTTTGATAATCAGATTGGTTCGAGATTGCAGACTAACGGAAAATCAACCAACTTCTCCCTTACATTCTTACTATATCAATAACATGATAGTTTTAATGAAACAGAAATTCAAATTGACAAACGAAGAAAGTAATTTAGCAGCGATAAGTGTATTCGGCGTCACGACAGTCGTCACTTGTTTGTAAACAAGTCATTGTCATTCGGTTGCGAGTTCAACTCCAAGCATGGTTGTGGCCACCTATTCACAGTGGGGAGTTTTGACTGGTGGCAGCGATAGTATAGAGAGCTCCGGGAACGTACTATCGCTGTGAGGAACTTGACTGGGCTCGTGTCGGGTGAGAGCGCTAAACTTGTGTCGCGTACCAACAGTGGAACCAGTATATCTGAAAGGCTCCAAACAGTGTCTCCTTTGTGCAAACTCCTTTCATCGCATGCTTTGTCACCGAGTCCTTACAAAAGCTCCAAACAGTGTTTTAGTTACCTCAGACTCTGCACACTGTATGCTACCTATATCAAAGGGGAGTAATTCCTATAGGCGTACCGCAGTTACCCCCCTTGGGATTTCGTTGCACGCTTTGTGAAGAGCCGCCGTTTGGAGCTTATATAAAGGGACATAACCGCATCTAGCCCTCCTAAACTGGTTCCCTGTCGTTTTTCCGCAACTATACCAAGCAGAAAAGGAATACCAGTTCAATCTCTTTCTTAGTTGCCTCCCTTTGACCACAAACGAAAATCACTCGATTCGCCTCGCAATTGTTTTACTTTATAGGTGTACTTTATAGGTGTACTTTATAGAGCCGAGTGACATTGTAGATCTAGACTTGTGTAGCCCTGTCATCAGCTCCACTTCCCTTCCTTTAAAAAAAAAAAAATCGGGGGAAACAAGCTAAACTATATTTGTAAAGACATTGACTGGAAGATCGTGTGTAGTTATCTCCCTTTGACCGCAAATAGACATGCTCGTCGTATTGTGATTTATACCTTTTCATGCACTCGCGCGCACACGCACACACACTGAAAGGCGGTTGATACGTTGAAAGATCTAACATTGTTTTCAACAATGGAGCAACATTCAAAGCTTTATGGGAAAGTAAAATTAAGATATCAATGAATAGAGAAAATATGTGCTAAACAACCTGAAGAGTATCAATTAAATATAAAGAGTCAGATATTTATAAAATGCTTAATTCCGTTGTGGAAATCATAACTTATGTATTGAGTTTGTGGACGATGGGAAAATATTTGGTAAGAAGAAAGATTGTTTATATTGTGAAAATGTTTATTATTGAAGAACATTTTCTGTTGATCTGTCCTTTGAATGAACATTTTAGAGTTGTGAAAAGACGTTATCAATGCCATTTGTAGGAACAATTATGCATGGAAACTAGGTGACTATTTGACTAGGTGATATTTTATGGTCTCAATGTGAGAAAACAATGGATTGAAACACACTTTGATATGAATTAATACCATTTGCTGATGATTTACATCTATTATATATATATATATATATATATATATATATATATAGCAGGGACAAAGGCGGGACGAATATATTGTTTGTGAATTATGGCAAACATTTCCGAAAATATACAAACATAATTATAAAATGTTCATGTTCTGCTGATATGTACAATTCATTATTACTTAAGTTATTATTCCTTTTCATATGTTTCAGGGTGTACAATTATTATACTTGAATATACTGTTTGTCAACATTTCACATCCACTGCCATGGAGCCCCCAGTGAGGACAATTGCCTTCATGTGAAGAACGACACAGATCGTACCCACCAACACCCGCTTCTGATGGTTCTTGGAAGTGACCTTTGACACGTTCATTGTGACATTTCCAATGTTGAATATTTCTACCGAGCATGGCCATTCTTATCACGTTAGTCCCCATCGTGATTTGTTCATTGTATTATATCCTACCTGACATATTTTGTGTTATCATGTGGTGCCAAGTTACAGTAGACTTCTGTGTCAGCATCCTGTTGTAGCTACGGGTTGTTTTGTGATTTCATGTGTTTAGTTTTAGTCAATGGTTTCAATTATGTACTTAGAAAATAGGTTATCAAATAAAATTACTCAGGTTTAGCTATTTATACGACAGACTACTGCGCGTTGTGGTGTGTCATTGTTAAGATTTGTCGTGTACACTTGTTGCGATTCTTTCTTTTTCTACGCCATGGAAAGCGCCGTTAAACCTTTGTCTTCCATGATGGGAGGGATTGCCTTTCAGCATAGTTTGTGCATTTCTGGCAATCCAGGAAAAGTTACTCGGAAAACACTGGTTTGTTTTGCAGGTCATGACCATGCTCACGCGTCTATACCAGAATTCTAGCCGACACGCACATATCCATGGTACGCGCCAGTGGGTGGACCTCATAGGGGGCTGCTCTAAACTCAACCCTGGCTATTTCAGAGATGAGTAGTTTGGCTTATTATTTCATCCCACTCTGTTGGCCCCCATGAGCTTGTTCGGAATTACCCGATTTGTTCAGCGAGGTTGGTGCATGTCTTCACTTAATTTGGTACCATCCGATTTTAGTTTCTCTTTTTTGACTTTCTGGTACCCTTCACCTTTGGACCAAAGTCAGTTTTTACTTACTAAACCATGGAGGATAAGGCACTCTAACTGGGCAAGAGACAACTGTACTTCCTACTCCACCAATGCATCATCATCAGTGGTAAGGATGCCTCATTTGATAGGGACTCAATACAGGATTAGAGGAACGAATAATGGATCATTGAAGAATGTGTCCGGCCATCTTCTCTTGACAAATCGAGCATGACATGAAAAGTAATGTACCTCACTACAGGAAACCACCTTGGTTGATGCTCATGATATTGGACCAGACTTTATTGGGGGTTCTTGCCAGTTTAAAGGACTGTAAATAGAGTAGAAGCTTTTTAAGAAGAACAGGACACCGAAATTGGGGTTAGAATTTACAGAAGGCCCCCATGGTGTTGGGGAAAAAAAGTGGACTTGAGGAGCGCTGAAGGTTGAAAATGGCTTGATTTCTATGAACAAATGACCAACCAAACCCAAAGAAAGAAACGCAACACAATGCCGTTATGAAACAACTCATGAAATCACAAGTAGCTGACACAGAAGTCTCCGTCATCAAGTCAAATCAGCTGTTCAGAATGGCCAATATTGGAAATTTCAACAGGCAAAAGGTCCCACAAGAATCCATGAAAAGCGGATCTGTTTCGTTCCTCACATGGCGACTGGGGCTCCATCTGAAAGTTAAAAACATACATATTTATCATGTCCATTATGTTGGTCCGCACTTGAACATCAACAAATTCATATAGACTTCAAGTCATTGTCTTCTCCCATTACCCCTACGATGGTCATAAGATCATTTCAAGATTCATTACCGCTATCATCTTTCACATTTGTTTGAAAGGCAAGAAAAACTATTTTCATGGACGAATAGATCTCTCACTCTTGGAGAAAAATACTCAAAATAGTCCCAATCTTCAAATTCTACAGTATATTTATACAGAAGCGGGATAAAATATCCAAATTTACCAAATCATATTCATTAATGAAAATTTGTCTAAGTACGAAGATAAAATGAATTAAGAGCCTTTTATCAAACGGCCCATGGCAACTATTGCAAACGAATTTCTATGCTCTTATGGAAATAGTACTTCAATCTTAAAAATACATAAGTAAAGATTTCCAAAACAAATTCTGGCAAGATGTTTTCAGTCTAAGCTGCATAGCGAATGTCAATCACAAACAAAAAGATTTCAAGTTATCAGTGAATCAGTGCGTTGAATTCGTGTAAATGACCTATCTTAAATTGTCAAAGAAGTTATTAAGGTACTTAAAAATGACCAATTTGTTTCAATAAATTACGAATCGACAAACAATAATGTTATTGCACGTCTTTTAAGGTTGAAAGACAGCAAGTTTGTTTATCAAATGTGGGTTAACACGATTTAACCATTAAACTTAGCCACGAAATTGAAAACTAAATTACCACCAAAACATGAAAACCTTTCCATGTTTCAAATGTATCAATCAATGATGCATTGACAACAAAACTAGAAACTGTCAGTATAACATTTTACATCCCATTATTACAACACAATCGTTTTTATACAAAACAGGAATATCTGCAGACAATAAATGTTACTTCTGCAATGACAAATATGAGACGTTGGAGCTATGATTGACAAAGTTAGAGATTTGATTAATGAAATTTAAACTTGGTATGAAACACAAATAGATACTGGTGTTGGGAGTTACGACTTTTCTACTTGGAGACCCTGACCAATGCTTTCTATTTAATCACTTATATACCATTCAGCTACAGAAAAATGATTAGACAACTATATTTTGGGTGTGATAACGCATCATTTCAAACAAAACATTGTCTATCTGTCGCTTCCATAGGATAAACCTTTGAATGGAAGAGACTTCGTATAGCTGCCATACATTCAAGGCCATCTATTTGACATTCCAGTATGTTCATTTGTCCACATTTCAATATTGAATCGAGTACTTTGTCAAAACTCAAAGGGACCACTAATTTTAGTTCGTTATAACCGCAGTTCGTTTTATGCATATATACAGCAAATACACAGCAAATTGCCGGAACCAAAAAATAAGTTCGTTATATGTCAGTTCGTATTAAGCTTGTTCGTTATAAACGTAGTTTCCCATAGTGCCGTATAGCTTGAGAAAGCTGCTTTCTGATTGGCTTATGTCGACTTCTTGTTGGTCATTTCATTGATCGGTCAAACTTCGCGAAAGGTCGTTCTGATATGACCCGTAATGTGATGTCCTCAGATCTTTGTTCAGCAGTAGCGAGACCTAAGATCTGATTTTAATGAGATTGGGGCTTCCAACACCCTGATTTTACGAAAAGATTCCATACCAATGTTCAAACAATATTGCTAACAAATAAATCCTACACATGTTTTGTCTTCCGCTTTATTAATTGAGAGCAAAATATAAAAACTGGGGTACCTTCATATGGCATGGACAATAATTTTATCCAGTAGGATATACTTTTCATAACATACAATAGAAATAACGGGTCCCTTCCTAATTGACCGAGTGCTGCATCATTGCTGTGTTGTGAAAGCCTAGTGATAGGGAAAAGGTGCTTACCTTACAGCGTAAGCGTGATGAGGGGAGATCGAGATCGTGTTAGCTTCGGTTGGTTTCGTCCGTTGTCTTTGCTGTCTAGTCTCAATCTGTCAATTGTCACCTGTCAGATTTGGCGGGTAAACTGATCACGTGCCTCGATCACACCCGGAAACAAACGAGTAACATCGGGTGGCCAATCCGATGTAACCCAATGTACGAGTGTGGAAGCCCCAATCACTACACTTGTATTACTAGAAATACCTAGACTTTGTTTACAAAAAACGGTATTTACATTGAGCTGATCTGGCTTTCTTAGCTTGTTGTGAAGACAGATTCTCCCCAACTCAGAATAGGTGTGAAATACCGGTAGATACCGAGATATGTATATGCAGATACAGTTTCTAAAATATGTCCGTCATAGTTTCATTATGAATCTCTTACAAGTACATATGATATGCATATGAAAAATAGGTACCAGGTTATTTGGTGCATGTGTACTTATATAATAGTAGACATAGTTATACATGATGAGTTGGTGTGACATTTGACAAGTACACACAGATAGACTCTACGTGCATGTGGGTGAGACTGGGGTGTCTTCCCATCCACCGTGTCGCAACGTTCCAGAGTAATATCTGATATATAACATATATATATATAACGAAAAATACAGCTATACTATTTACATACATTTTATTGGGGTCACGGATGGCCCAGTCGATTCGCTGAGCAGAGTTGCGTCCCTTGGGCACGCCAGAAACCTATGATTGTGGGTTCGAATCCCGGTTCGCCCCGATTATGATTCTAGGTTTGGCAGCACCATACCCGTGCTCATGGGTTTCACCGAAGTGGTAAACGTCTGAGACCTAAATCACTTCGGGCTTTCCTCCCACATTAAGCTGACACGCCGCGATATAACTGGAATACTCTTAAAAGCTGCGTTAAACCCAACTCATCCACTACACATACACTTTATAATATTACTCCCGTATATAACATAGAGTATATTACCAAGAACTAATCACCAAAGCATTAAAAACAACCAATTCCGTTAAACAAAACTTACACTCTTGTCTCATTCATACAAGAATAAAGTGATAGAAAAGTTATAATTACGAAAGCTGACAATTTATAAGCCTAGTTTACCATAATTACTTAAATAGATTATAGCTGAGATATTGAGAATATTAAACACTTTTAGTTGACTAATAGTACAGGTTTAGTGTACAGCAACATTTAAATGCAATAACATACAATACAAATATTAATAGACAGTAAACTAACCTGATTCAAATGGTTTGCTGTCAACTTGTCCGTGCAGAGTAGGTTTGCAAACTGAGTACATGCATGCTGTGAGACAAAAGGGTTAACTTTGAGGGATAGCTTGGCCAATCAGTTGAGCACGTCATGGCTTGGGTTTGTTTGAGGCTTGAAACATGAGGGACACATGAACTACATTTAAACTATTTATAAACGATAAACTATTATAATCACTCATTATACATAAAAGATAAACACGGAATAGCAGACACTGCAGAATAATAATATGTCTGTACATTAATATTAATATTCTTAAAGTAAATCCATTGTAGATAATGCACTAACTGACCGCCCCATTCAAGATATTTTATATTTCACATATGTGGCTAAACTCACTGTCACTCCAGCTGTGAGCCAGGGTCCATTGTGTAAGTCTACATAGCCAGGCTGACAGAAAGGGCCGCTCCCTCAGGGAACCGGTGATTCGTGTGCTAACTTCACGTCACGGGGTTGTTATGTGTTTTTAGTTAGTTTAAACAAATGTTTCGCCTATTATACAAGCCCCGATTATTAGAAAGATAGTTTTTGTTTGACGCAGTTGAGGGTGTAGATAGTTGGTAATAACGTTATAGATAAGCACAGTCTGATATACAGCTGGTATCAATTGAAAGTCACATGTCGATATTGGACAACCGCCAATAACGGGTAGAGATATGCTTCTGATTTGTCAATTCCAGGAGATCTCTGGTGATGTTCGCATGGTGGGTTTTAGAAAGAAATATATTGTTGTGCATATATTTGTAGTGATTGTTATAAATGTGTATATCTATTGTGGTCTGGGTGATGGCGTACATATTAGTTTGTTTCGGTTGGGCATTTTTTCAGCCATATGCACAGAAAGATACTGTATGTATCGCATGTAAAAAAAACCGAGTTACTACAGACATATATGCTACTCAGAAGAAGTTAAGAACACCCTTTTTTTAAATTACTATAATTGATCTGTCACGATTCGTGGGCACATGCAACACAGACTTCCAATTGAGGGTGTTCTTTAACTTGTTTCAAGTAGTATAGTACCGAGGAGTTTTTCCAAATGAAGATATACATGTATTTCATTTAAGCATGGTATTTAAGAAATATGAATGATATAATTATCCGTATATACATTTTACGTTTTCATTAGTTTAACTGTAGATTGTGGTTGTGACGTCAGATGTTATCTTGCAGTGTCCGTCATTGTCCGGGCTATGCCGGATTTGTTCCTCGGGTGCCACCGGCAGATCACTTGACTAAGCGAGTAGTCAATCCCAGCATGGTTAGCACAATGAAGGCGACCAACAGGTACAGTTGTTATTGCGTTTGTTTGATCGGGACGCGCCAAAACACCCTTACCTGTCCATCACGCTGTGCACGGGTGGTGTCGACGTATAGGGTTACCATATGTGAATTGATACAACGAAAGAAATGTATCATATTCATACTTTTTCGTGTAATATCATTATGAACATCTTCGGAATGAGGCTTAAGGGACCGCAGTTATTAATGACAGGGAGATATTTTTGGATGACCCTCCCCCTGTCCTTGCACATATTTTTCACGATCCACGATTCACGATAATTATTATTTTTTAAGACCCTCCCCTAGAAACAAACAAAGTTCTTGGTTTTAAATTATACATTTATATACCGCAGGTATCCAGAAACCGACCAGTGGATCCGGTTAACAACCCCCCCCCCCCCCCCCCCCACACACACACACACACACACCTTCCCTCTGATCCACCAACCCACCTTGTAATAAATGACCGGTCCCTAACAGAAACCATGACTTAAACATCCTTATCCATAATATAAGTCGTTTCCATCCAAATGCTTCACTGTTGTCAAATAAAGTCTTGGTTTTCAGGTAAAAAACCACTTTACTTCTTCCTATCAAAGTTAGATATCACATATTGTATATATTATAGAATGCATATCACTCTCTATTAACAGGACAATGCATCTGATTGCCATGCTTCCATTTCATAGGGAAGTTTCACGCGAAGAGTTGATAAAGAGACAGTTTGCGATCATAGGTCAGTTCTCAAAATCGGTGACCTTGACCTTTCCCTTCAACCCCTACAACAAGGTCGGGGCCGATGAGTAGCAATTCTGAGTGAGATGACCACAGCCAAGGACATCTTCGGGCTAAGTTCTGCATTTGAACAGCTATTAATGCATATTTGTATATTTCTTGAAGGTTATTAAAATTATTTCAAAAGCACATCCTGTCTTTGATGTATTGGGGATTGGCACCCTCATGGGTTGGAGGGAACATCCTATACAAGGCTTCGAGTGTGTTTCGCCATACAGTGTTTCGTCTCTTTGGTGTGCCAGAACCCAATGATCGTGTGTTCAAATCCCAGATTCGCCCTGATTATGATTGGACCGCCTCCGTGGTCTAGAGGTAGAGCGTCCGCCCGGAGAGCGGAAGGTCCGGGGTTCGATCCCCGGCCGCGTCATACCAAAAGACGTTAAAAGATGGTACTTGTTGTTACCCTGTCTGGCGCTCGGCATTAAGGGGCTAAAACAAGGACTGGTCGGCTCGGAGTCAGTATACTGTGTCTGAGTGGGGTATTCATGTTAAACTGCGGCATGGTATCTCAGTGGGCTAGCACTATAAATCGGCATCAGTCCGGACTAGTACAAGCAGCCACACAAACACACACATGTACATGCACGTCGCTATATAAGTGCAATAATCTTGGACGCGACGTTAAACCCCATTCCACCACCACCACCAATTATGATTGTTTGGTTTGTCAGCAACAGAGCCGTGGTGGTCGGTTTCACTAAAGTCGTAGAATACAACATTAAGCTCACCAGCCGTCAAATAACACGGAAATACTGACTGTCCAAGGCGGCGTTAAACCCGACTCGCTCACTTTTACCACTGACAAAAATAATGATTAATATAGCCAGAGACCATATATGGTCTCTGATATAGCATAGTCACGCGACGTCTAATTGTAGATGGTAAAAGTACTCATCGAGCATTTATTGCAAAGCGATAGAGCCTCTGACCCGAGCTCGGAAGGTTGGTGGTTCGGTCCCCGGACGCGTCATGCCAAAAGACGTCAAAGTTGATACCCTGTATGGCGCTCGGCGTTTTCGCTATACAAGTGCAATAAACTTAGATGCCATTTTACCACACTACCTCGCTCAAAACGAAGCTTACGTCCCCGCGCTATTTTAAATTCTTCCACGCGTCTTAAATGGTAGTTTAATCACTGGTGCATTGTGCATGCAGAACGAGAATTCCATTTTAACATATGTAGGGCACGTAATTTTGTTACTGTGTCTTACAGTATCATGATATCTCTCGATGGCCTCTTTATGGAATAAAATAATTTGTAGTCAAGTGCAATAAGAACCAGGTCCCTTGTATGTGTGATAAATTAGTATCTTTTAACTATCGTCTTTAATTTGCATTGTTGAATTATACTTTGAAAACAATCAAGTTTATATCACAACTGTGATCATAATTATGTTTAACAGCATACAAATGCTTACGTTGCGATCTATATCAGTCATTGATAGAGAAGAATTCCACGTGTCGGTGATCAACCCCGTTCTTCGCAAGCAGTATATCTATCTACGTGGCAACGTCATCGTCTTGTCTTCGGGTTCCATTGCTATGAGTGAGTGAGTACGCCGCTTTGAACAGTATTCCAGTTTTATCAAAGCGTGTCAGCTTGATGTGGGAGGAAAGCCCGACTGATGCAGGTCTTAGACATTTGCCACTTTGGTGAAACCCACGACCACAGGTATGGTGCTGACAAACCTAGAAGCATAATCGGGGCGAACCACAATCATACGTGTCTGGCGTGCCCAAGGGACGCAACTCTGCGCATCGAATTGCAGCGCCTCAAGACGACTGGGACACCTCCAGCAGACGACTCATTTCAACAGCCATCATACAGCGGTGATATTACTACATGATGAAATGTGCAGTTGCACATATGGATTGTGCAACACAGTATGAAATAACCCCACCTTTAGACAAAGCTGGATTTGGTTAGATTACATTAACGACTGAATGCGAGTGAGTCATGGGCTAGGTCAGCCATTATAGTTGTCAGTGTTAGCAACGCTTTCAGCTATCACGATAAGAACTCACGCCCTACCGCCTCCTGCAATTGTTTTCAATTCCCTTCCTGACCGGTAGTACTCCCGACGATTTCCATGTCACAATTCAGGTTTAGAATAGCACAGTACCAATTTAATCAAAAGCCGACAGGTGCTATGATTGGTGGATGGTGGGTCATCGTACCCCAATGGCGCGGTTCACTGTTCATGCTTACAGTCACAAGGGTAGATGGGTTCGAACTGCATTAATTATAGGCTCCCGTGATACAGCTGGAATACAGGGCCTGTTCCACAAAGCGATCCAAGGGCTCAGGTGATAGCAGCCCACATAATCCACAGGGTTTTGGTTGTTGTGATCGCTGTGTGGACTGGGAACATTTGCACACGAGCAAAGTATGATCTACCTTTAATTGTTCCTAACTTCTTGTATAGAATTCAAACTTTGCACACACATCCATCCACAAAATGGTTCTCAATCTGTCTTGCTGGGTGAGGTACAAGGTCAATACTAATCCGACCTGCATCCTCATTAAAATCAGATCTATTAACCCTGACACATACCCCTGCTTCCATCAGCATCGGAGGAAAAGATATGATTTTAATTAAACTGCTGGGAAAAAGAAAGTATAGACTTGAAAATGAATGTGACAAAAAATTATGAACTTTATCAGAACACTGTAAGGTTAACGTCCAAAACACAACTATGATACCCATATCAAATACATCACTATTTCTTGTTTATTTCATTTTAAGCCATGATCAAACCTTTGTGTGTACTTTCTTTCCTTGCCCAGCAGTTTAGATTGACCAGATGTGTTGGTTGTGGTTAATCACTACCCAGCTTGTTCTCATGATACTGAAATTATTCTATATGGAAAAGTTGATGTCATGATGGAAGACAGTTATAAGTCTGTCTTTTTGTATTTACAAGCATGTGTATGTGTTACAGGTGCAGCGCTTGTATAAGGTACATCTACACAGGTTGCAGCAGTGACATAATTATCAACAGTCACTAGGTGTGCTGGTCTTATGAGCTGGACATGCACAAGAGAATCAAGTCATGCTAAAAGCACCTGTTCTGATCCTCTGATATTTTCTTCGAGTTAGAACTGAAATAGGCAAAACAAACAATTCTGTGTAGGTTCTTGTTTAATCAGTTAACCAAGTATTATGACACAGACAAAACAAGATTTTAGACAGTACAACACATGTGATGACAGGTGGTAATAAGATATTTGGAACACCTTAAAGTCTCCTTCAAAAAGATCCACAGTCCAAAGCTTTTCGTACAATTTGAGGAAGGACAGTGTTCCAAGCCTAAAGTTTCACTGAGGCAAACTATTGTAATGTACAATGATATAAATATCTGATGTTTCGATGATTCTTCAGTCATCCTCTGCCTCTAAATTAATATTGTTTCCAAACTTAGCATAAAGTTGTACTTTTAAATCTGAAAGAACTTTCTTGTGAGTCTCTGCCCTCTCTTCTAGTTCCTCTATGGCCTTCTGGGTATTTTCCTTGGCTTTCTCGATCATCTCATTGGCTTCATCAACAGTTGAGCTCACAAATACCTCTCCGATCTGGTATGTAGGATTGTTAAGGCTTTTTCATTGCTAATGCTATATGGGATATTAATCTTTAAAGTCACACTTCAGCTATAAGCGGATAAGATGGCAGCCTGTAAATAATCAGACAAACCAGTGGATCAGACAAACCAGTGATTGACATTATCAACAATGATCAATGACATGCAATCAACCACCTCATTCATTATGACCAGTAATGCTGGTTGCTGTGAACCTATTCTAACCCACAATAACATTTTAGTATCTTCACATGTGTTTATAAATAAGGCTCACTTAAATCAGACATCAGGAAAATGTAAGTATTGATACTGAAGGGGATGGGGATAGTGATTACGGAGCTTTGGATTTTGAGGACACTTTGATTTATGTTGATGAATATAGAATGATGGTGTTGAAACGACAGAAGTGGAAACAGTGATGCAGTACAGCAAACCCAGAATAGGTCTTCAGCAACCCATGCTGGCTGTAAGAGGCAACAAACGGTACTGGGTGGTCAGGCTCGATGACTTGGTTGATGCATGTCATTGCATCCCAACTGTGTAGATCGATGCTCATGATATCAATCACTGGATTGTCTGGTCCAGACTCGATTATTTTCAGACCACTGTCACATAGCTTGAACATTGGTGAGTGCGCAAGTATTGAGTATTGAAATATTTGTTTGTTTGTTGTTTAACAACAAACAAACAAATATTTCAATACTCAATACTTGCGACAAAATGACTGGTACTGCAGTTTCTTGTCTTAAGGAATGTGTATGATGACACAATCACCCTTGTTTAGACCAAACATGAAATGCTGGGGATTTATTCAAACTCATTCCCGGCCATTACCAGGGTCTGAACTTTCAGATACAGTTAACTGCCTTGTTATTTTCAACAACTTAACTTTAATCGTTTCCATTATTGCCACTACACATGTAAAAATTAAGTGTCTGGTTATTGTGGCCACTTTGATGCTTATTTCAAAAATAGTAACTGCTGTTATTTGAATGGAAATCTTGATTCATTGAACTTGGAAACATTATGTCAAGAAGAGTAAATCAAAATATAGATGTACTCTTATCACATTAACTTGATTAAGGGTTCAATGGCTCTCCCTCATGTGACAACACTACATAACATTATCTGTAAGGATATGGAATGGCGCCATCATCTCCATCTTGAAGCATTAGCTCATCAGCTGCATCCTCCAGATTTTGAAGATCTTTCTGCAACACAAACAATAGTATCACATTCAGTTGAACATATCTGACACCATCATGAACAAATACATGAAACATTTATCTTAACCTGAAACATATAGTATTAGTCATTTTAATTGATTCCTTCTTTTATTCAAAATAAACTAATCAAAATGTCACATTGTCAATACTAATTTACTAAACACTGACAAAAATAAATTGATGCATAACTTCTTGGAGCTGACCCTGTTTCAGTGTTTTACCTTTTTAGTTGTAAGTTCTTCCTTTATGTCCTGCAGTTTTGCATTATGTCTGGCAAACTTATTGATCTTTTGTTGATCTTCAAATGTCACTTGAGCATCAGATTCCTTGAAACAAATAACATCCTTGTCATCCAAAGATGAATGCTAACACATGCGTCATATACAAACAATTATTTTGGTAGGGGAAAATGGTATAGGACATCCTCTAACATCTTCTAGTATTACTATTTTTAAAAAACCCAAACCAAAACATGTTCAGTAATTCTCGCAGGGGTACTTGTCAACTGCTTGAAGGGCAAATTAGCTTGTCAGTTTACAAATTCACTTACCATTGTTGCTTACCAAAAACACAAACAACACATGGGTTGGCAACAATAGAAAAGCTTTGAAAGAGCAAATTCATTTTGTGAACATTTGATAAGCCAGTTGACAATAACCCTTCACATAGCAGTCTGTTAGTGTAACAATATATGAATAGTTCTGAAACACGTCTCATTATCTGAATGCTGACAATGGGTAGCTACCTTTCGTATTGACCATGAATGATTCTTATCACAGGCATCACACCAATTCTTAATGTATCGTTGTTAGGGTAAGAACTTCAATGAGAACGATTCTATCAGCAGTGTGGGATCAGATACGCAAAGTCTTTGGTCGGTTTGTGAGGTATTTCAACTAAACAATAGTTAAATGCGATGTGACAACAACATCTTAAACACAGATATTCGTCTCAATCAAAAATAACAACGATTTTATCACTGGTTTGCTCACCGAATCCTTCAAGGTAGCCATGCTTGATGTTTAGATTAGCAGTAAATTCCTGAAAATTCGAAATTATTCTCTTTGACATATTGCATTAAATTATATATTGATAGTTTGCAATATCTTTTCAATACCAAATTTAGCCACAAGAAAATATAAATGAACGACATTATAAACGGTTACTTATTTTCATTCAATCAAAATCATTCTATACTTTTGGTGCAGCACTGTTATGTTGAAACATGGCGGCTCCCATGACAGAAATTTTGGTCCTTGTTTTGGGTAAATATTTTGCTCGGATTTGACTTTATGTAGAACTTATGCGATTAAAATAATTATTTAGCACTTACGAAATGCAATTTATTTCATTATTGCAGCTCTGGTGTCAGCTTGTGCGGCCCAACTAGAGCTTGATGACCGGTAAGTCACACGAATAGCAGCCGGTGAAAAGATGGGCGTGTCCTTTAATCAATGCCGGTGTCAGTGGTTGTGTAGTAGAGTCATGTCAGTCGTAGTCATTAAATGCTCAGAAGGTAAGAAACCTCTGTAAAGCAAACAAGATCAGTACAGAACGAATCCTAACAAGACAGTGCTAATTGCCAGTAAACTGTTCTTGTTGCTCACGCGAACTTATTTTTCTCCATCATGGTTCAAATCTGATATTTGAAAGTGGCCTACATTTGGAATTCAGCACCACAGAGTTTACAAACACGCCGCAATATTCTATGGACTCATTTGTAAAACCTTTTTGCAAGATACACCAGCAAAACAACCTGTCACGTCAGCCTAGTAACGATTGATGGTGGGGGGGCATCAACTCAAGGGGTTATAGCGAAAATGGCACCTCAGCAAAACGTCACCGGGCGAAAACGGCACCGATTGGCGAAAACGGCACCTCGACTCAAGCGAAAACGGCACCTCGACTCGAGCGAAAACGGCACCTTATTTTTTTTTTTACCTTGGTCAAATGAATGATATTAAACTTACATTGTAACTTGCAAAGGCCAATAATTGTGAGATGTTAAAACAAGTTTACATTAGAAATTAGCCTCTGCTCCAACTATAATCCAACTTAGCTTATACGCAACTCAACTTATGGTTAAAACATAACATGCTTTGACGAAAGATAATAGAAATTAAACTCACATCGTCTCTTACAAACACAAATAATTGTGAAATAAAACAAATAAGAAATTAGCCCCCTACTCCAATTTACTCACCGACTTTTATTCACTATACGCTTTGAAGTTTTAAGTACCTTTACTCAATTTAAGCTGAAACTGTATTTAAGAGGCCTAACATGGTGCTGTCGGATCACAATTATTCACAATGGCCTTTCGATGTGTTGCATGCGAGAAGAATGACAGAAAAAAAATCAACATGCTGTATCATGTGATAACTGTGACCAGTGGAACTGGACTTTCTATGGCCCGTTATAGAGAAATTTGCCGTACTGACTTCCCTTTCCGCTGTGTGAAATGCGTAGCTCCCGTCATTGAAGAGGTGATCGGTAACTTTCATGTCAGTTTCCAGTCAGAAGATGCTGAAGAAATGAGAGTACCAAACCTATCGGAAATTCACATTACGGCTTCAGATGTACTCAATACATCAAATACCATGTAAATAAACCCTATATATTACTACACTAATCGTTGTTATTAAACATAGAGGTTCCGTTTTCGCCCGACACATAGTAGCCGTTTTTGCCAAATGCGGTGCCGTTTTCGCCAGAGAAATCGGTGACGTTTGCTGAGGTGCCGTTTTAGCCTGCACCCAACTCAAGTATATCTAAGCTCATCTTAATGATCTATTATCTCTGCAAGCTATATGGCTATCAATATATTGATGCTGCCAAAATCCAAACGTCGCCATTCTCAACACTACCTATCTACTGTGGGACAATGAATACATAGTGGTTTGGAAGACAAAGATAGATAAGAACTGTCTTCTCATGCATTTTAAAACATTGAAGTTGAAGTGTTGAAGCATGGAAATAAATGCACTTGTCAGGGTTTTTCTTATTCATTATTATGTCAGAATGCAGTTGCATTTTTTCTTCACACAAAATAATCGAGAGAGCAGGATGAAGTGGTTTCGTGATGGATATATACTCACCACCATAAGAAATGTGAATACCATACATGTTGGTTAATATATGAAGACTTGCTCATATTCAAGAGCTATTAGATTGGTTTGATGCACAAACGAACATACTGAGATGATGTGTGAACCGATGCTCATGAACATGAATGCATCACATGTGACATCATCAATCCATGACTCATGCAGGATTAGTGTAAAAAGTTCGAAAATCATGAGCAGCACATTGTGATACGAATAAAGTCACTCTCTGGTAACACTTGACTGATGGTTAATTTTGTCATTAATTGGTACACATTGGAAACATCTCCTCTTAATGTACATACTTCTCCATATGTTTCTATGATTCGTGTATCTTTTGGAGGTGAGATTCTTGAAGATCCGGGGTAGAATAGGTTTTCAACAAGTCATGCTTGCCATAAAAGGCGACTGTGCTTGTTGTTAAAGGCAACTAACAGGATCGGGAAGTCAGGCTCGCTGACTTAGTTGATGCATGTCATCGTATCCCAGTTGCGTGGATTGATGCTCATGATGTCAATCACTGGATTGTCTGGTCCAGACTTGATTATTTACAGACCGTGGTCATATAGCTGGAATATTGCTGAGTGCTGCATTAAACAACAAACAACAACATCTTTTGGCGGTGAGTATATATATCTATACCAGCTAAAGGAAAATGTCATGGAACTTCTCACGCAAGCCACATTCACTCCGTACATTTCCTGAGATATGATTCAAATGCTGACTCAATGATGTGGCATCATAGGCAATGACTCTGTCTTCCACGTTCCTTACTATGATCCACATTATCATTACAGTGTTCCCTCCCACACTTTTCTATCTGAAAATTGCCCTGGCAAAAAATGATTAATCGGTTAATCGTGAACTCAATGTCTGATGCCTGGAGCCGTTTTGAGTTCGTGCCATATTAGCTCATTCCTTTCCACTCGGGATCTTTAAGATTATGGAACAAGACAAGTGTGCCAAATGGCCTAGTGACCACAGACCATAAATGTCTGTATACTGAATGACACTAAGGCTATCCGTAACCTTTGCAAATGTCTGTCACCACTTTGTCCTTTTCTGTTCCTCTCCGTAACCCTTTAGACATGACTAGGTAAATTTGCACAGCTTGTAAATTTTAATTGTATGGTTGTAGGATCTAGCTTAGTTGGTATACTTGTCCGGCCAACAATCTGAAGTTTGCTAGTTTGATTCTTACAAAGACTGGTTACTTGTCTCAGTGACATGTGACCTACGAATGCATACAACAGATATTATCTTCATGAAAAGTTGTGGTGCTGAATTCTTAAGATACCGCAAAAGTATCCGTAACATTATGTCAGGTTAAATGTATCATTTTTTGATAATGCATGATGGTCCTTGTTGTTCTTGCATCATGGTTTGTTCTATCAATAGTTCATTGTATTGAGTGGTTCTGGATGTAGGTGGCATAGGGGAAATTGTGAATATTGTTTGCTTATGAATACTTTTATTTCATTCTGATACCAATATTAATTGCAATTGAAATTTCAGATTCTTAGAGCAGAGGAAAGAGGGATTCTGGTTGGTGCAGGTATGGAACTCACTGTACATTTTCAGGGATTTATCTGTGTTATATATTTTGGGGTGATGATCCCCAACAATGATTACATACAGAAATTTAAGTGGTACCAAATTATGAAATGGCAACATTCATTCCTAAACATGCATACAAAGTTTCTGCATCACAGTGGATGTGCTTTGTATGTTTTCTTCCCCCTTTTCAGATTATTTGGATATAGAGGCAGGTACATGCATCATATAAATCCCTGCATGGTGTAATTATCTGAATTAAACATGAAAAGCTGTATCAGGGAATATGTTCATCATGTTCAGAAGTCGCGTTCATTTGATTCAGATATTTGTCCTTGTTTTGGTCATCAATTTTCTTGAAAGAAAATATAAAGTACCAATCTAACAATATTACATGATTCATTAATCTCATTTAAATCAGATCTTAGAAAAAACTTTCTGATGTGACCCATTAGGGGATGTCCTCAGATCTTTGCTCAGCGGTTGTGAGAACTAAGATCTGATTTTAATGAGATTGTATGATACATATACATTATATATGCGGCTATGTTTGACGTAATTCAGTTTGTATAACAGTTGTTATAATTAGTTGCACCTGTTAATGTCACACGGAAAGGATTTATGCTGGGTGATGTTTATATTGATTCTAGATCTCAAAATGTGTTCCGGGACTTTGCGGGCATTGTAAGCCTAATCATGTGAGACACTGCATGTGTGGAGTTGTGTCCCTTTGACATGTGAGAAACCTATGATCATGGATCTCAATTTGTCCTGATTTTGTGTCTGGGGTTGTTGGCACCATACCCTTGCTCTTTGGTTTCAACTAAGTGGAAACATCACTTCAGGCATCACTTTCCACGTCAAGCTGACAGACTGTGATTTGACTAAAATACTGTTGATTGCAATGTCAAACCAATCTCACAGTCTTATTGACATTGATAATGATACATTTCAGTTCTACGCCCCATGGTGTGGTCATTGCAAGAAGCTGGAGCCCATCTTCCACCAGGTATTCCGCGAACTCAGGAGCACGCCAATCCGGGTTGGCAAGATAGATGCCACAAGGTTCTCAAGTGTGTCCTCAGAGTTTGACGTCCGAGGCTTTCCGACTATCAAGTTGTAAGTACATGGAAAGTGGTGTTTAATGTGTTTGTTTATTTCCTTAAGTGGCAGGAGATAAATGATCTTCTAATTCCTAATATTGTCTCTCAATGATGCAATTGAACCATTTAAATGATTCGTTTGTTAGAGTTGTCTCCCTTTGACTTCCATCACTCAGCCTCCAAGTCAGATTGGAAGGTATTACATGTACAGAGATAAGCTACAGCAGCCATATTTTATCTGGTATTTGTCCTTTTTACCTGGTATATGTGATAAGTGTGCATATTGGGGATAATTTTGTGAGTGTGGTTTGTTCTGACAGAGCCCGATACGAAATATAGTCATGTCTCGTTAATCCGACACTCGTTAATCCGACAATCGGCTTTATCAGACACAAATGATGGGAACCAACTTAATCAGTGCTATTTAGACCCATTAATCCGACAGTCTCGCACTCCGACTCCGACACGCCTAATTTGCAACGAATTGCTGAAATCCCTCATTAATCAGTCTCGTTAATCTGACACAGTGATCAGCGTACTCTGTGGTCATCTGCCCGCGAGTACACAGCCCCGTGTTTTGATGCCAGACGAGTCGGCGAGTAGCTGCATATTTCAACGGCTGCAGAGATAAACTTGCTTAACAAAAAACAATTACTGCTTTAAATGCACATTACATTAAAGGGGCACTAATCTAACGCAATTCCCCGTGACTGGTTGTTGCCTTTGTTATTGTTTATTCCCAGTGAGTACCCGGATGTAAAGCAGAAATCTAGACTAGTTCGCGACCTCTGCTGTGCAATTCGTAAGCGCTTCAGTCACTTTTATGGGTAGTAATAAGGGCGTATGGTCACATTGATCAACAAAATGAAACACAGTTTTCGAGATAATAAGGAAATGTAGGTATATTTGTGGGTAGCATCGGTAATGGTGACGAAGTTTTGATAAGTCACTTTCTTAGTAATTTTGCGATTTTCGTTTACACTATTTTGACTTGCAACACAAAGTAAATATTTCAGCTGAGCATTGCTTTTGTAGTGTGTATATTTTTTTACTGTCAAAATGTGTAACATTTTCAAATTTATTAAACGTCTAAATATTCAGTTACTTTACAAAGTGACTGAAAAACATTTCTATCTGTATTATTATGATAACGAATTCCAAACATTTTGATGTTTAATGTCATCACCAAGAGACTGAAAATGTTACGTTGAAAAGTACATTTCTATGTTGTTTGGCTTCTAATCCTACATAATAATCTGTTGTGATGTTTGTAGGTCCTTTTGATCATCTTAATCAATCTGGACAGATTTTTTAGTCAAAATGACTGAAATATTTACACATTTTATAAATTGCCTGAGAGAATCACATTTTACAAATTGACGGTAATATATACACGCTTACAAAGGAAAAGACCTGTGAAAAGAACGTCTATCGCGCATTGAAAAAATTCCCAACCAAGACGTAGAGAAACAAGAACGAATCGGTTCAAACGAAGGAAAACCAAATTTCAAATACCATTATTGCAACCTACCAAATTTATGTGTATAAATTTTAGGCAGCTTCCTTGGTCGAGGAATGTATCCGTGAATATCCACACAAAGGAACAATATCCTACTCGTCTGCAGCTGTACAAAGAAACTTATTCGATGTCACGTGTCTCTGTAACAATCAAATATTTTAAAAGATATATATCGGTTCAGGATATTATAACCCGTGTTCCTTTCTCAACTTATCACTTAGATTGTTTCAGGTGTTTCACATAGGTGTCACGTCTCAAGGGTCGGCTGAGAAAGCCCACATGACGACTATTTCAATAACGTCCACGGTTCCTAAAAAATCCATTGAGTGATAGATAACAATGAGCAATCAATCAACGTATTATTAGTTAACCCATTGAACAAAGTATGTTGTTTTTACATCGACACTTCACGCCATGATATGAGTGTATTCCCTTTGTTTTAGTAAACCTAGACATGTAAACACTCCCTTTTGACATATCCACTGTGCAAGATAACAGTGATTAATCAATCAACGTATTTTCTGTTAATCCTTTGATGACTAGGAACGATCCGTTGATTTACAAAAAAAGTAAATGAACTGATCATTCACCTCTTGCTGGGCTGCCACGTGCATATTACATAACACACATTTCACCTCACTTCAAACCTGGATTTAGATTGAATAATTACCCCAGACACAATAAATGCCAAATGGGAACCTTTGTCAGGTAATCTAAGTGGTGCTACCACTAATTGTACCTGTAATAAATTCATTAACTGAGCATCAAGTGAATGACGACAAATACACAAGTGTAGGGTTATACGAGAAAACGTGGAGGACAACAAGGGAGTAGTAATCGTATTATCGACGCAATCCGAAATCCGAAAGTGCTTTCACTGCATAGATACTTATTTTAGTATTAAACTATAATCATTTTGGGTATTTCCAAATGACGACATCCGATGAGCTCCGACGTTCTTTTTATCTGTTTGTTTAGGCTGAAGAAATTAATAAACATGCGCCCTTTGTCGAAATCTTTATAGATCACAGTTAACCAATCAGTGTTTATGCAAAAATGCGTAAACAAATATTGCCTCCAGCCTCCAAGTTTATTTAGCTGTCCTTGCAGACGGTAGCCCAGTCTCTGGTCACGCTCAGTTGCGTTGCGTAACATCCGGGTGCTCACGGGGAAAAAAACAATAACAAAGGCAACAACCAGTCCGGGGAATTGCGTTAGATCAGTGCCCCTTTAAATTACATGCCTAGATTACCTCAATCTCAAATAGGATACAAGTTCTAGCTACCACTGAGGACATCCCATTACAGGTCACATCAGAACAACCTTTCGCGAACTTTGACCGACCAATGAAATTATTAACAGGAAGTCGACATTAGCCACTAAGAAAACAGCTTTCTTAAGCATTGCGGCACTAGTTTCAAATTAGCGACTTCCATTCCAGACTATGCTTTCAAAATCAGTCAATTTTGAATCAGTTATACTGTCCGTAACAGTAGTTTTGTGTTAAACTTTAGTGGTTACATGGTTAGAAAACATATTCGCCGTCATATAGCTGGAATATTCCTGAGTGCGGCGTTTAACAACAAATCAAAAAAAGAAAACATATTCCGCTGACAATGTAACACAACAATATGAATATTTCGTTTTTCCTTTTCCTACATGTTGGTGTCGTTATCTATCGTGTAGTCGTCCAATTTTTTATCATGAATGGTTATACTACCTAATTTCGTTTATCCGACATTCTCGTTAATCTGACATAATCATATGCAACCAACAATGTCGGATTAATGGGACTTGACTGTATGCTGTAATTCATGTCCACGACTTGGGAGGAGTTATCCTCCTTTGATTGTAGGGCTGTTTCTCAATGTTGCATGTGTATTTAAGTTTCAGTGGAGATAATGTCTACACCCACAGAGGAGACAGGACAAAAGAAGATATTATGGAATTTGCTCAGCGGGCCCAAGGGTGAGATTCAGATATTTTGAAAAAAACATTCAAAGCCTTGGTGCTATTTTCATCTGTCTGTGTCACTTTCCCAAAAATGTATAGGTGACAAATTCAGGAATTTAAACTCATCAAATGTGCATGAAGTTACAGTGGGTTACCGGATGTTTAGCTTCAGATGACAATGTGATAAGAGGTCATTATGATTATATTGCCTCAGATTAAGGGAAATTATAGAACGTCTGCTAACAGCTTGAGAGCTGATGGGTATTTGAGTACTCAGTCAGTTTATGTGGACTCGAGTCCTACATCAAGAACTAAAGTACCCAGAGGAAACAACTCATGTCTCCACTTCTCCAACATGTGGTTAGAGTGGTAAAGTGTCTGGATGCATTTTGACTCTGATAATGCTGAAAAAAAGAATGGTTGCCTCAGTGCAAAGTAAATAGCGATGATGATCCTCATGGTGATGCTGCTGCTGTGGTACCACTGCTGCTGTTGATGCTGGTACCACTGCTGCTGTTGATGCTGTTACCACTGTTGCTGTTGATGCTGTTACCACTGTTGCTGTTGATGCTGGTACCACTGTTGCTGCTGATGCTGTTACCACTGTTGCTGTTACCACTGCTGCTGCTGATGCTGTTACTACTTCTGCTGTTGATGCTGTTACCACTGCTGCTGTTGTTGCTGTTACCACTGCTGCTGTTGATGCTGTTACCACTGTTGCTGTTGATGCTGTTACCACTGCTGCTGTTGATGCTGTTACCACTGCTGCTGTTGATGCTGTTACCACTGTTGCTGTTGATGCTGTTACCACTGTTGCTGTTACCACTGCTGCTGCTGATGCTGTTACTACTTCTGCTGTTGATGCTGTTACCACTGCTGCTGTTGATGCTGTTACCACTGTTGCTGCTGATGCTGTTACCACTGATGCTGTTGATGCTGTTACCACTGTTGCTGTTGATGCTGTTACCACTGCTGCTGTTGATACTGTTACCACTGCTGCTGTTGATGCTGTTACCACTGTTGCTGTTGATGCTGTTTCCACTGTTGCTGCTGATGCTGTTACCACTGCCGCTGTTGATGCTGTTACTACTGTTGAGGTTGATGCTGTTACCACTGCTGCTGTTGATGCTGTTACCACTGTTGCTGTTGTTTTTACTCCAGCTCCTGCTGATGTTTGAGTACATTTCAAGAAAAGAATTAGAATCAGGGTTGTCATCTTATCCATTATGTTTCAGCCCTGCGGTGAGGAAGTTGGCCAGTGTTGGGAAGTACAATGAGGCAAAGAGTCAGCACACTGACAATGTCTTCTTCCTGTTTATTGGTGATGATGACGTGAACGATGATCTCTATGTGAGTACAAGTCCTGTGAGAATTACTGGTGGAAGCTGTAGGTCCTCAGTACATCGATGGTAACATCTTGATTTCAGCTGTATCATTGATGTATTTTGCACCAAATTCTGCCAATACTATGAGGGTAACGCTATTTTTCAACACGAATGTCACTGACCCACTTTTACAAATATGGAAACGTCAATAGAACAAACCAGATGACGTCACTATTGAATGTGACGTCACCTATCCCTACCCTATGTATGACGTTGCCTAACAACGGGCGTGATAATGGCCCGTCGTCAAGAAATATGAAGGCATTATCAAGTTACAGTGGCCCGCTTATTTTTGATAACATGCGGGCAGTTTATGATAATTCTATCCATTTTAGCTATAATATAAGATATATTATGATTTTTGGTAAAAAACACCACCCTTTAAATCTTAATTGTTTTGATATTGCTAGGAAATCAGAATCTTTCTCCATACTTACTGGATAAAAATTTCCCCATAACATTTTCTGCTTTTTACCTTTTGCTTATTTTGTGGTGTTGATATTTTACGAGGGTTTCAGTCATTTGCTGTCACTGGCAAATCACTACAAATAAACAACAGTCACTACTGCCACATGACAATGACAATCACTTGTTCGTCTGGTCCAGACTTGGATTATGTATCATCATATAACTGGACATTGCTGATTGTCACAACAAACAACAATCAAATCTCATTTGGAGGAATTGAATCAAAAATATATTTTTATGAAGTGTGACTATGATATTGTATATTTATGATTTATGTTCTGTAATTTCAGTCTATGTATGCATCAGTAGCAGAGAAATATCTAGTTCAAGGATATTTCTATGCTGGGACCAGAAACATACTGCCAGAAGCCCTTGTAAGTACCTGTGTGAATTAGCTATAGCTTGAAAGAAATGATTGTTTGTAAATAAGCTGATAGGGTAAACAATTATCATGCCCCTGGTTAGAACTAAACTCCGAGCTTTACTAGCCCTGGTTAAGGTAAAATGCCTTTGTAATGTTAAAACAATTGGGAAATTTGTTCTAGCCCCGGGCTGGTGTTATGTTCTAACCCTGATGCCACTGAATGACATCATGAAGACAAAGCCATCATCCAGACTTGATAATTTGCAGGCCACACTCACATGGCTGCAATATTCCTGAGTTCAGTGTTAAAAATCCCAACAAAAACAACAAAGAACCATAACACTGCAGTCTGTGCCAGAATATTTTGAGTCTTATAGCCCTTGTTTGGCTCTTAGCATCATTTTTTGTAGAGTTTAGAGTAATAATCTTGGCTACTATTACCTGAGCTAGCTAGACTGAACAGAATTTTACTAGACTTGGGCTTTGGACAAGGTGTTAAAGTCACAAACTGTAACTGTGAAGAAGCTGGACCTACTCTCCTTCTCCCTTGTCCCGAGATACTGACACTGAACAATGGTAAGATTCAGATTTATGACAGATTCTCAAATCCATGGCATAATGATATATACATATTTATTTCCATAAAGTGGGTTGGCAAACAAGCAAAGTTTGCTTATCTGAATGCCTCTCCCAAACATGATACATAAACAAATTACAATGTATTGAAAGTGACATGAGAAATAACATGCATTATATAACTGACATTAAAGATAAGTATTGTTCTGTAAGTGTTTAATAACTGGATAAATTTCGTAACTACAGTTATGTTATTATTTACATCCAGCACAACAACATCGCAGTATCATATAGCAAAGCCAATCTCTAAATCGGCAAGAAGATAGAATATAACTGTGCACTGATTTCAAAATTTCAAAATTTGTTACTGTCGATAAATGTGAATTACCATTTAGAATTGAATTTAAATACAAAATAATACATATTTTGCCTTACTGTACTGTACTGGCATATTTCTGGTAATTGGTAGATCCTGCTATGGCATAACCACAATATATTGCAGAATAGGATTATGTAAATGCCCTAGTGTACTAGTTTTCAATTTGCAAGGACAGTGCTACATATGCTGTTCTCCTGTTCTTCATTGAACTGTCTGACTCCTGATGTGCCATGTGGGTTCTACTTGAAGATACCTTAACAGAATCAAATTTCTGGGGAAATAACCTCATGTGAAAACTGAAACTGGCTGGTGACTTACAAGGCTAATGGCCCACCTGGGCGGCAATATTTAGAGACTATTTCACTGATTCATTGGTTGTGATGCAGCCAATAATGAGGCTAGACTTTGTATGAAGATCACCTTCCCCACCCTAAGAATAATAATAACTATAGCTATGCATGCCAAAGGGCAGTAAGATTCACGAGAAATGAAGAAACACAAGAAAGTTATGTTGCAATAATTTGTAAAACTCACATTCACAAGCGTATGATCAACACGTTTTCGTTTTCATTTTCATGAGACTGTATTCTGGAAATGATGTAAACACTGACGAACAGCTTCCACATTTTTGGGGAAGCCCCTGGAAACTCCTTAGCATGAACAAATACAGAACTGTTGTGTATGATCACTTGGACGTTAAATCTTGCTATCTGTATTTCCATGTGTAATATCCTTACTACCTATCAGCCTCCATGATGGCCCAGGTTAGAATTGGTCATCAGCAACCCATGCTTGTCCGTCAGGCGACTAACGGGATTGGGTGGTCAGGCTCGCTGACTTGGTTGATACATCATATTCCATTTGTGTAGATTCATGCTCATGATGTCAATCACTGGATGTTCAGTTGTTTACAGACTGATGTCATAAGGATGAAATGTTGCTGAGTGTGATGTTAAACAACAAACAAACAAATACTACATGTACAACCATAATCACATGTCAATAATCAGACAATATCAGCAATGATGACAACACCTAGTTTCCAAACATTCGACGGAAAAGAGTGAGTGCCAAACATTGCACAAGCTCTGATGTTCAAACAGTTCGGCCATTACTCTATCAGGAGATTAACATTATGTGTTGTCAGATTTGCGGTAGTTTTTGAGTATTCAGTACCGAGAAATTTCATTTGGAACTGATGGAGTTAACAAATCTTAAAACTCCTATCAGTGCAACATTGTCAAATACAAAAGTTATCAATAATTTTCCCCAGTACTTTATCTCTACATGGGGGCAGGTGGCCCAGTTGTCTATGGCAGCGCAATTTGCTGTGCAGAGTAACATCCCTTGGGCATGCCAGCAACCTATTATTGTGGGTTTGAATCCTGGTTCACCCTGATTATGTTTCAAGGTTTGTCAGCACCATACCTGTGCTCGTGGGTTTCACCGAAGTGGTAAATGTCTGACATCTTCATCACTTAGGGGTATTCTCCCAGAGAAAGCTGACAGGCCGTGATACAACTTGAGTGCTGTTAAAAGCAGCATTAAACCCAACTCACTCTCTCAAAGGGAATTCTGACAGTTGTGAGACAGACACAACATCACTCTGGAATGGTTTACATCACATTCTGTAAATCTTGAAAGAAATTAATGCGAGCGTGAATGTAATGTGAAAAATGTGAGTTGTGTTTGTTCGCATTATGAAACTTAGCATATATGTCTCCAAAATGACTATCAACAATAAGATGGCCTCACTGCACACTTTGGAAATACCCACCCGTGTCAAACTAGGCATCATTGACCACTCCAATCAGTGAACTGTTGTTGGTTCAATTACTTTATTGGCTTTGAACTTCCTTAATGCCAGTCAGCAGCATAAACATATAAACTACATGTTGTTTTTAGGAAAAGACTGTTTATTGTTATTATAGAAGTGTTTAACCCAGTGCAAATAAGCAGTACTATTTGCTGTTTGATTGGATTAAGGTAAGGATATTTATCATCCAAAACTGGCTCCTTCAGGAGATATTGCTTGGATTAGATCAAGCGATATCTACACTGTAGATATCGCTGCAATGAAATTACATCACAATGCTTTGCAGACCATTGTGATGTCACCGGTTACCATGACGTCACAATCAAATGACATCACTAATGGCTCTGCTACTGAAGCTGTTAGCAGTACTTTTTACACTGAAAACACTGCTAATTACTGTCTACATATTGAAAAAGTTGGAAGAATGATGTTGGATGATAAATAAAATCTCACCATCGTGTCTTCTGATATCAAATATATCAACACTCGTTGATAAAAGTGGCAAAAATCCTCGGCAAGCCTCGTAATTTTTCCACTTTTATCAACTCGTGTTGATATATTTGATATCAAAAGACACTCGGGTGAGATTCTCTATGTATTATTCCACTGGGGATGGGGTGGGGGGAGTCACATTGATTTTAAGTCACATTTTTGTCTAGGGGTCAGCAGTGTATTAATTTGGAGACGCATTAATTTCAAGATTTACAGTACTTGCATGATAACTGAACATGTCGAGTGAATGGAATTTGAGAAAAACCTACTAATTCACAGTTGTGATATGTTAATCAAAATGATTATGTTATTAATGTGGTATCCATTTCGCCATGACAAATGGCATGTTTTTAAAAAAAGAATTTGGATTGAAAAAAGATGCTTATCAAGAAGAGTATCTATATGCTGTAAATTTTTGGGCTTTGAATCTCATTTAATGTTTTTCAACCAATCAGTTTGCAACACACAATCCCATTTCTTTTTCAATGAGGTTTTACATTCCAATGAACTCAAAGTGAAAGTCAATTCTTATATGGAATCAAACGTTTCTCCTGCAAATGAAACAATGTTCTGTTGTCCTCAACTGTTCAGAGTCCAACACGTCTTTTTCAAATATCAGATGTGAAATAACCTACAATATATACCATAATGAAACAACTTTTACTGTTATCATATATATGTTTTAAATATATTACATGTTCCAGCTAAAGCCTTTAGTGTAACTAGAATTATGTAATGACCAAGTTTAAGCCATTTGGCGAATTGAAAGTGGTAGAACCGTTATTACTAAGTACATTGTTTAATTTTCCTGTGCTAGACCAAATGTGACCAGTGAAGATCCAGGGTAGAATAGCAACCCATTCTTGTGACTAAAGGGATCGGGTGGTCAGGCTCGAAGACTTGGTTGATGCATGTCATCGATCCCAATTAGTTGGATCGATGCACAGGATGTCAATCACTGGATTATCTGGTCCAGACTCGATTATTTACAGATCACTGTCATATAGCTGGAATATTGCTGAATGCGGCGTTTAACAACAAACAAACAAACAAACACTGAAAATGTAAGAGTAGTTTACTCCTGTCTTTCCTCCATCATTGTAACATCCCTATTTTTTGGTAACACAGAATGTCCCCCAGGCCCCATACAGCAACATGTTATTTCCCACTGACAGCTTACGAAATGTGACACACACTGCAGGGGAACTTTTCTTGCACAGACCAATTCTTGGATGATGGATAGTTTTTGCAATCTTTCCTATAAAACATTTTTTAGATAACAATGTTTGGAATTCCTTTGTATCAATGACTGATATCTTTGCACTGAGATAGGGAATCAATGCTGCATATATTAAATATCATGTGGAACTTAAAGGGGAAAAAAATGGAAATATGATATTGAACCTGTATGACTTTGTGTGTGCCATGGAAGTTCTCAGTGAGAGTCGCCCACATCTGTACTCGGGATCAATAACGGTTTTACTGTGAAAAAAATAGTAGTTGTTTTTGTAATAAGAGTTGTCACCTTTGGTTGGTTAAGCTATCATATCACCACGTTTGCAACATCAAGTCACGATATTCATGCAAACATAATGATCCACAGTGAGGTCATATTGACTCTGAGAGCAACTGGAGTACAAGACCACAACTGTACAAACAATTAGCTGTTTACTGTCGACTCATGCAGTGGATTTTTTTCTTTTCAAATTCAATATTTTGTTGAGACAATATTTTGGGCATCATAACA